TAATGATTTGAGAATCATAACGAGACCTTTTTTAGTTCTGCGCCACATGGTACTTTACCAGTGAGATTAGCTCCACGCAGTGAGTTCTGGCGCCCGGATCACAGACTTTCTGTAAATGGGACACCGAAATGAAAAGATTTAGGGGCTGTAAAACTAATTTATGAATCCAAATATCTCTGAACTACTGTTATCAGTTAAAGAAGTATTGGAAAAGAACATGTTTTATTAATGCCTTTGGACAGATTAGGGCCCTTTAATGATGACAGATTAGGCCCTTTAATGATGACAGATTAGTGCCCTTTAATGATGACAGATTAGGGCCCTTTAATGATGACAGATTAGGGCCCTTTAATGATGACAGATTAGGGCCCTTTAAAGGTGACTTTACATGAAAATCTTACATATTACTTCTTTAAAACAATGAAACAAAGCAAAATTATCCTGTTTTTTAAAAAAATACAAGAAATGTCTCCCTTAGAATGAGAAAATACAGCAGCAGTTCTCGGCTAAAGGCTGTAGACCCAGGACTGAGGCTGTAGATCCAGGACTGAGGCTGTAGACCCAGGACTGAGGTTGTAGATCCAGGACTGAGGCTGTAGACCCAGGACTGAGGCTGTAGATCCAGGACTGAGGCTGTAGACCCAGGACTGAGGCTGTAGACCCAGGACTGAGGCTGTAGACCCAGGACTGAGGCTGTAGACCCAGGACTGAGGCTGTAGATCCAGGACTGAGGCTGTAGACCCAGGACTGAGGCTGTAGATCCAGGACTGAGGCTGTAGACCCAGGACTGAGGCTGTAGATCCAGGACTGAGGCTGTAGACCCAGGACTGAGGCTGTAGACCCAGGACTGAGGCTGTAGACCCAGGACTGAGGCTGTAGAACAGGACTGAGGCTGTAGACCAGGACTGAGGCTGTAGACCCAGGACTGAGGCTGTAGATCTAGGACTGAGGCTGTAGACCCAGGACTGAGGCTGTAGACCCAGGACTGAGGCTGTAGACCCAGGACTGAGGCTGTAGGTCCAGGACTAAAGCTGTAGATCCAGGACTGAGGCTGTAGATCTAGGACTGAGGCTGTAGACCCAGGACTGAGGCTGAGGCTGAGGCAGTCTCCTTCCATGTTTTTCTCTAATCTAAATAAGTTATAAACCATTAATATTAAAGAAACAAAGCAGAGAGCCACACGCTGCTGAGACTGTTTTGCTTATTGTGAAAACATCCGGCTTCCTCGGTTTCAGAGTCCGGTCGTCAGGGAACAAAGAAACAGTTTTGTCATTAGTGATTAGAGCCAGAAACCCTTTAACAATGAAGTCATATTTACGTTAAATACAATGCAACCCAGGCATACATTTCTTCAATACAGCGGTTGAAAAGAATCAAAGAAATAAATAACAGATGATAGAAAATAGAAAAAAAAAAAAAAAAAAAAACAATAAAAGAAAAAGATAAATAAAACTTCCCTCTGTCTTCGTTATAATCTGGGTAAAGCCTGAGCACCTCCATTTGAAAATGTCGCTTTCACCTTTCATTTCATTTTGTAAAACCTTTCTTCATTTCTGTAAAACTGTTTTATCGAATCTATTCTTCAAAGCGAGGTGGTTCAGAACTTTTCCAAAATCTTGATATTTGCTTCGACGCCAAACATCCTAACTACAAAATGAATAGTGTTTGTTTTTTAAATTCTTGGGTTGAAACCTCAGCAAGAGGTTTGGTTTTTCTATTGTTATTTCTTTGCCACATATTTCTTTGATAAGCTCTGAAAAGAGGCCCCAAAATAGCTCCAAGTGAGGGCTCCATTCATTAAAACGAGTGACTTCAAAATGTCACAGCGTCTAATCTGGTCCAAAAAAATCCACCCCCTCAGCATTGACACACATGTGGAACGGAGCTTTGGGCCAAGAGACAACTTTTGGTCCATCCTGTAAAGACGTTTTCCAGAGGTCTGCCAATGCTATATGTTAGCATTGGGTAATTCTTCTTCTGGGTCCACCCCCACAGGCCCGGGGTGGTACTGCAGCATGTCAGCGCACGTCATTTTGGCCACTTTTGAGCTGGGACCCGCCCCCACTGGGTGTTCTGAAGAATCTAGTGAGAATCTTCCAGGCGTATTCTTGCCAATCTGGGGATTTTGTGTTGGTATAAATATCAGTCAACCCTTGAGTCCACTTCTCAACCCTTATTTTGCTTCCTAAGTCCTTTTCCCAGGAACTTTTAAGATTGTTTTTGCAGTTATCGTTATTAATCAAGATTCTATAAATCTCTCTTATACATTTTTTACATTTTGAACTAGCATAATTTTTTAAAATATATTGCATTATGGATGAAATGAATCAAAGAGGAACAAGAGGCCGTAGTGGAAAAGTGTGAGACAGATTTCTGACTCTAAAATGTGATTCAATAGAAAAATATCTTCCCTGTAAATTACACATTCGTTTGTCAAGGCTTCTTTGTATACCCTAAGAGTTTGCCAATCTGTTCCACTCCAGATTATATTTAGGATTACAAGTCTCCGGAGATGTGCTGATTCACTTAATTTTCCTTTGCTCCATGATTGGCTGAGCTTAATCGTTCCCATCTGCAGACTGCTCTATTTCAGGTCCTCTTGGTGACTCACTCCTCCCTGTCATTAAGGCCTCCTCTGCACCACACACTGAAGGAAGAGAGAGAAAGAGAGAGAGACAGATAGAGAGAGAGCAGAATGCAGGGAAATCCCACTCAGACAGGGCATCCCCAGACCCCCGGGAACCTGCAGGACCCCTCCCCTCAGTGACCCCCACATACACAGAGCACTCATGGAAACGTTTACATACATGTTCCAGATACGTGCTCCTACTGCGTTTTCCACGGCACGCCCCGAGCTCTGCGTCATACTGAGTTAGTGGTATATACTGGCACTTTTTGATTTAGAGTCACCAATAGCATAGGATTTTAATATACACTGCAAAAAAACTGTAAAATATGAGGAGTAGTTTTTATCTGAATTTGAGCACATTATGACGCTCTGGAAACAACATTCTCCACTGGGACAAAGCCGTTTAGTCTTATTTAAAGAATTGCTGCTTTTTTTCTCATTCCAAGAGAGACATTTCTTGTGTCTTTTTAAAACAATATAATTTTGCTTTGTCATTTTGTTAGAAAAAACCTGAAATTAAAACATTTCACCAAATTTTACGGATTTTTGTTGCTTAATTTTAATCACGTTTTGCAGTGTAGCTTTCACTATTAAATATTTTTTTTTCATTTGAACACTACACTTCATGTTACACTTAAAAAACGATAGCATATAAAGTACTACACACTTGATGTATATTTTTTTCTTCATAGTAGTAACTTTTTACTTTGTTTTCTTAAAGGTACACTGTGTAGTATTTACTCCCCTCCAGCTTTGAGATCATATTTTGTAATTTACGGTTCTACGGTGGCTTCAGAGGACAATATGTGGTCTTTGACAGTGGTCCCGAACTGCCGCTCAAACTCCTTTTTGTCCCTTATCAGCCTCTGTATTTCAAGATGGTGCATTGAGTCCTCAGCTTCATAGACTTGTCAAATTCTAAGTCTATGACAAGAATTCATAAATATTCATGAATAATCTTAAAAAGGTCACATTTGTTATTGGTCAACATGTTTTTTTTAATTTGGAACAACTGCAAAAATTACACAGAGGACCTTTAAAAACCACTGTGTAGAGAAACCCGCTTACGTCACTGTGAGAAAAAAGGCCCACAACATTTATCAAGTGCTTTGTAACTAAAAAAAGATTATTTACTTAAAACTAGACTGGGACAGGCAGTGATTTTGTAGTTCAAGGGCAGATTTTTTCTATCTCGTCCAAGTTTTTTTTCTTGTCCTGTTGGAAAATCTTTTTTATGACGGACAGAATGTACTAAAACTAAGATAAAAGTAACCGTAAAAGATAAAGTAAACAGTTTTTTTAGTCAGCAGTGTAAAGAGTCTGGAAGTAGCACTGAGATATTACTGTTTAAGATCAGGAAGGTTACAGCCAAAGTTACAGCCTTTACCCGGAGAAAAGCAAGAGGTGAGTACGAGCCAGGTTTGTGGAGATGCAAGTCCACTGACAGGAAGCAGATACGTGTGTGTGTGTGTGTGTGTGTGTGTGTGTGTGTGTGTGTGTGTTTTTACATATGTTTGCGTCCCAAGGAATAGCAAAGTGAAAATGACCTAATTTTGATCCTCAATCTGAAACGCACCTGGGAGGAACATGTTCACTTCAAAAGAGATAGATAGATTCTTTATTGATCCCCGTAGGAGAAATTCAGGTGTCCAGCAGCAGAGGTGGAGCAGCCTCTGGGTGGAGCAGGACGGGTCAAAAGCTGGAGTAGCCGCTTGGTTCTGACCATTTTCTCTGCTCTGGTCCTAAAATGCTAAACGCTTCATTAGCATTTTTCAAAACATTAGCATTCCTCCAGTAGATTTTCACCTGTTCCTCTTGATTCAGACCATGAATCCTCTCTGCTCTGGTCTGGACCAGTGTAAAACCATGAATCCTCTCTGCTCTGGTCTGGACCAGTGTAAAACCATGAATCCTCTCTGCTCTGGTCTGGACCAGTGTAAAACCATGAATCCTCTCTGCGCTGGTCTGGACCAGTGTAAAACCATGAATCCTCTCTGCGCTGGTCTGGACCAGTGTAAAACCATGAATCCTCTCTGCGCTGGTCTGGACCAGTGTAAAACCATGAATCCTCTCTGCTCTGGTCTGGACCAGTGTAAAACCATGAACACTGAACTGCAGCAACATCTCAGGCATAAAAATGCTATACATTTTTTTTTGTCAACCATAAAGCAACAACTGTTTCAGAGCCACTTAGGACTCGCTGCCGTTTTCCAGCGCATTCAAAACTAAACGGATAAATAGATCCAGAAGAAATTCATAACTTTGCTTTTTGGATTTGGAAATGATATAATTTTGGGAGTATCAAGCATGTATGAAAACGTTCAAAGCAAACATTGTAAGTAAGTTGCTGCGATGACATTGGTTTAGCAGCTCACAGACAGTGGGACGGGGCCAGCGGTGAGACGGGGGCCAGCGGTGAGACGGGGGCCAGCAGTGAGACGGGGCCAGCGGTGAGACGGGGCCAGCAGTGAGACGGGGGCCAGCGGTGAGACGGGGGCCAGCAGTGAGACGGGGCCAGCGGTGAGACGGGGCCAGCAGTGAGACGGGGGCCAGCAGTGAGACGGGGCCAGCGGTGAGACGGGGGCCAGCAGTGAGACGGGGCCAGCGGTGAGACGGGGCCAGCGGTGAGACGGGGCCAGCAGTGAGACGGGGGCCAGCGGTGAGACGGGGGCCAGCAGTGAGACGGGGCCAGCAGTGAGACGGGGCCAGCAGTGAGACGGGGCCAGCGGTGAGACGGGGCCGGGCAGTGAGACGGGGGCCAGCGGTGAGACGGGGGCCAGCAGTGAGACGGGGCCAGCGGTGAGACGGGGGCCAGCAGTGAGACGGGGGCCAGCGGTGAGACGGGGGCCAGCAGTGAGACGGGGCCAGCGGTGAGACGGGGCCAGCAGTGAGACGGGGGCCAGCGGTGAGACGGGGGCCAGCAGTGAGACGGGGCCAGCGGTGAGACGGGGCCAGCAGTGAGACGGGGGCCAGCAGTGAGACGGGGCCAGCGGTGAGACGGGGGCCAGCAGTGAGACGGGGCCAGCGGTGAGACGGGGCCAGCGGTGAGACGGGGCCAGCAGTGAGACGGGGGCCAGCGGTGAGACGGGGGCCAGCAGTGAGACGGGGCCAGCAGTGAGACGGGGCCAGCAGTGAGACGGGGCCAGCGGTGAGACGGGGCCAGCAGTGAGACGGGGGCCAGCGGTGAGACGGGGGCCAGCAGTGAGACGGGGCCAGCGGTGAGACGGGGGCCAGCAGTGAGACGGGGGCCAGCGGTGAGACGGGAGCCAGCAGTGAGACGGGGGCCAGCAGTGAGACGGGGGCCAGCAGTGAGACGGGGGCCAGCGGTGAGACGGGGGCCAGCAGTGAGACGGGGGCCAGCGGTGAGACGGGGCCAGCAGTGAGACGGGGGCCAGCGGTGAGACGGGGGCCAGCAGTGAGACGGGGGCCAGCGGTGAGACGGGGCCAGCAGTGAGACGGGGGCCAGCGGTGAGACGGGGGCCAGCAGTGAGACGGGGCCAGCGGTGAGACGGGGGCCAGCAGTGAGACGGGGCCAGCGGTGAGACGGGGCCAGCAGTGAGACGGGGGCCAGCGGTGAGACGGGGGCCAGCAGTGAGACGGGGCCAGCGGTGAGACGGGGCCAGCAGTGAGACGGGGGCCAGCAGTGAGACGGGGCCAGCGGTGAGACGGGGGCCAGCAGTGAGACGGGGCCAGCGGTGAGACGGGGCCAGCGGTGAGACGGGGCCAGCAGTGAGACGGGGGCCAGCGGTGAGACGGGGGCCAGCAGTGAGACGGGGCCAGCAGTGAGACGGGGCCAGCAGTGAGACGGGGCCAGCGGTGAGACGGGGCCAGCAGTGAGACGGGGGCCAGCGGTGAGACGGGGCCAGCAGTGAGACGGGGGCCAGCAGTGAGACGGGGGCCAGCGGTGAGACGGGGGCCAGCAGTGAGACGGGGGCCAGCAGTGAGACGGGGGCCAGCAGTGAGACGGGGGCCAGCGGTGAGACGGGGGCCAGCAGTGAGACGGGGGCCAGCGGTGAGACGGGGCCAGCAGTGAGACGGGGGCCAGCGGTGAGACGGGGGCCAGCAGTGAGACGGGGGTCAGCAGTGAGACGGGGGCCAGCTGTGAGACGGGGGCCAGCAGTGAGACGGGGCCGATAAATGTAACACAGACGGTACAACTGCAGCTCTCGTGTCCAAGAGAGCGTTGTGAGGCTCGAGACAGCCTCTGGAGCTGGAGCTAGGGGGCAAGGGTCTGTCTGGCACACACATGTGGCCAGGCGGGGGGGGGGGGGGGGGGGGTCCGAGGGCCTCTCTGACCTCTCCTACGCCCAAAACACTGACAGGCATGATTTAAGACTGCTGCAGAACATAAGGAGGTCGTTATCTGGAAGTTATGCAAGCTGTATGTTGTGGAATGTGGAGAAGCAAAACTATATACGCACACAATTGTCTTTACTTTTGGATTTCAAGAATTCAAAACTTTGTGTAAAAAGCACATTTTACGGCTTGGCATTTCCAGGGCAATTAGGAAGTCACTCATTTAGCTCCTGGCCAGTGGTGGCTGGAAAAGTAGTTAACCAACAGCAGAATAATGATTAATGAATGACACTGGAGGAATGAGTCAGAATTCAAAATGGCCTTTAAAGGTTCTCTGCGTAATTTTTACAGTTGCTCCAAATTAAAAAACATGTTAAACAATAACAAATGTGACCTTTTTAAGAATATTTACCTCCACCCTGTTTTGGAATTGTTGTCATAGGCTTAGAATTTGAGTTATAAATGTCCATGAGGCTGGAGGACTCTACAGGTCAATGCATCATCTTGAAATACAGTGGCTGATAAGGGACAAAAAGGAGTTTGAGCAGGAGTTGGGGACCACTGTCAAAGACGACATTTTGTCCTTTTGAAGCTTCCGTAGCACCGTAAATTGCATTATATGATCTCAATGCTGCATGGGAGTAAAAACTACACAGTTTACCTTAAAGGTGCAGTTAGCGATGTTGTTAGCTTAGCCGTAGCACCAACTGGAAACCACTCCCCCCTCCCCTCCCTCTCCACCGAACCAAACATCCAGCATTTTCTTTTCTTTGTCACAACAGGGAGAGTGGAGCAAACGTGAAATTGGCATTTTCTGTTCAGCCATTTTAGGTTTTAGAAAATCCAATAACTCCGGTGCACTCGCGAGAAACAGGAAGAGGGTGAAGGCGGTAAACACATCCCATTGGTTCGTTGGGGAAGAACGAATCTGGTTTCACTTAAAATAATAATTGCTGAATATCCAAGAGGAAAAGGTTTCTGGAAATTCAATTCATCATTGTTAAAGGATGAGCATTTTATCAACAAAACAAAGACATTTATTGATGAGTTTTTTCAAATGAATGAAAATACAGCTAGTCCCCATATGGTCTGGGAAGCTTTTAAATGTGCTTTCAGAGGGCACTGCATAAAAAATTCTTCTATTAAAAAAAAAAGAGGCTTTAGACAAAGAAAAACAATTAATGCAGAGTGGTCCCTACACAAGTAGAAAATTGGAGACCCCTAACACTACTTTGTTGTGACACAAGAATACTCACCAAATGTATAGCTCAACGTATGAAAAAAGTAATTGGAAATATTATAAAACATGAGCAAGTAGGATTTATTAAAGGAAGGTTTATAGGGGAAAATATTAGACAAGTTATTGACATAATTGAAGATTACAAAAAACATAAAAAATCTGGAATTTTATTTATTTCGGATCTTGAGAAAGCATTTGATAAAATAAGTTGGAAGTTTATGTACAGTACATTAACATTTTTCAATTTTGGAAATAATATTTTAAGATGGGTGCAAACACTATATAACCAACCAACTAGTAAAATAGTTAATAATGGGTATTTATCAGACAGTTTCATTTTAACCAGAGGTGTGCGACAAGGATGCCCCCTGTTAGAAATAATACTTCAATTAAAGGTTTGCAACTAAATAACAGAGAAATCAAACTAACAATGTATGCAGATGATGCTACCTTCTTTTTACAACCTGAGGAACAATCACTAAATGAACTGATAAAAGAATTACAATTATTTGCAAATATGTCTGGCCTAAAACCGAACTTCGGAAAGTGTGCAATTATGAGATTAGGAAACATTTCAGGTTCAGATTTTGAGATCAAATGTTCAGTACCAGTGAAATGGACTAATAGCGATGTAAAGATTCTAGGAATTCATATTTGTAGTAAAACTGAAGAAACCATAAGGCTTAACTTTGATAAAAGAATGAAAAAGGTAGATAGTCTGTTACTGCCATGGAGGGGAACACATTTAACGATGATGGGAAAAGTGACATTAATAAATTGTCTTGTAATCCCCCAGATGGTATATTTATTGCTAACACTTCCCTCACCGGACAGATCATTCTTTAAATGTTTTGAACAAAAAATGTTTAAATTTATATGGAATAATAAGCCAGACAAAATTAAAAAGACAATATATGTACAACTCGCCTGAAAATGGTGGATTAAACTTAAAAAATCTAGAAATCATGAATGAATCTCTGAAAGCCTCCTGGATTCATAAATTGTATCACAACCCTAATTGGATATCTAGTCAAATGCTAACTAAAGCATACCCAATTTTTCAGAGTAAATTATTTCCATTTTTCCAGATTAAAGCCAATAAATTAACCAAATAATGAATGTTGAACTGATAAATATCTCCACATTCTTTAAAGATGCATTCAAGGCATGGCTGAGCTTTCAATATCATCCTCCAGACGGTTTTCAGGAGATTCAAAATCAATTGCTTTGGATTAATTCTAATGTTCTAATCGAAGGGCAACCTTTTCTATGGGAATCATGTTTGAATAATGGAGTTATGTTTATCAATGATCTAATGGACACATCGGGAAACTTTTTGTCTCATTCTAATTTTTGTACAAACTATGGATATTGTTTGGACCCATATAAGTACAATCAGCTGCTGTCAGCAATCCCATTGAAATGGAAAAGAACACTGAAAGACAAGGACAAATTATTAGTATGTTTGCCACGAGTGAGATGCAACAAATTCTTAAAGGACAAGATAAACAAACATAAGTACAGGTATAATGTTTGTATGTCTGGAACAGCCTTTTACCCTCACAGAATCTGCACTGCATGGGAAGATGAATTTAATTGTCCGGTTTTATGGAAACATTTTTTCCAAAATATATGCAAAACTGCCATAGATTCTTACTCTAGGGTTTTCCAAATAAAGCTATTCTATAAAATTACAGCAACAAGAAAACACCTGAATTTATGTAAGATCATTAAAAGCCCCATGTGTAGATTCTGTGAAGAGGAGGAGGAAGACCTAATGCATCTATTTTATTTTTGCCCATATGTTTCATTATTCTGGACGATGGTCCAAAAATGGTTGTGTGGATTAGGGATCAAGATTGACATCAATCCCATGAATATAATGTTGGGAATCTTGGACAGCAACTCAACGAATGTAGGGAATGTAATCATCCTGATGGGTAAAATTGTTATCTTTAAATGTAAAACCAATACAGAACTCTGTTTGAATAACTTTAAAAATAAACTGAAACAACAATATGAAATGGAAAAAATAATAGCTTCAAACACAAAAAGGATAATTGTGCACGAAAAAAAATGGAAGATGTTGAAATGGGACTGATGTCGCATAGAAAATGGGAAATGAGAGAATGGATAAGTGGATGAAGGCCTCGGGGACTTGTGTGTGTTTGGTCTCTATGTTTTTATTTTGGTTTGTTTTTCTTATTTTTTGTTGTTGTTTATTTAGTTATATATATATATTTTTTAGTCTTGCCTGTTAGTTTTGTATCTGTCGGCGGGCTTGTGTATTTTGTTTTGAGGTTGCTTGGTGGGTGGGATTTGTCATTGCGTTATGTTGTGTTGTGTGTCCTGTGTGTACATGTCTGGTGAGTGTCTGAAATAAAAAAAACAAAAAACAAAAAAAAAAAGAACGAATCCCATTGGTTTATTTTTATCCGCTCCAAAATATTTTTTATTAATTTTAGTAGACTATAGGCATGTGGTCAATTACATTACTATTTGAAAACACATTATATCTCGATACTTTTAGGCTTTAAGGACGTTTTCCCACAATATTTAAAAAAACGCGTCTGAAAAATCACGGACTGCATCTTTAAGCTATTTTTGTACTTTAAAAAAAAAAATACATCATAGAGTAGAATTTTGCACTAACAAGCTAAGCCATACTTTTGAATATGTGCAAATTATAGATAGTCTAGTTTAAAGGGGAAGAGAATGAACGAACGAATGAATAGTTTGACAGTAATGTAACCGCTTCACGTTGTGCTCTGGGCTGCCCCGACGTCGGCACTTTCACTTCACTTCTGTGCAAACTACTCTCCTGTTTACACACATATTCTCCCCCATTATAGCATGTGTTTTCTCACTCTCCATATTGAACTTGTGGGCGTTAAGTTTACGTCTGTTTGTCTAGTCCTGATCTTTGACCTGGGTGCGCCGTATGCTTTGTGCGTAAAAAGTGAGCAAACTAAAACTCGCAGCTCCTCCTATATGGACTTTCTCTTTCACAAGTGCGGCTCTAAAACCTTCCCCTTTTTGTCACTAAAGCCCAGTTTCACTTCACCATTGCACAAACACATCTGCTGACTCTTTCTTTGTTTTTTTTATTTGTTTTTTTTTATACTTTATTGTGTCTTTATTTTGCACTGTGAATGTACAGACTTTGTAAACAAAGAACAATATATATATATTTTTTTTACATATGTATGGTTCAGTTGAGCTTATACACTTATACATTTTTAGAGCACCCATGTGAAATATGTCATTAGTTGCAAGAAAAGATAAAAAAAAAAAAAATAATAATAATAATAAAAAAATAATAAAATAAAATAAAATAACAAAAAAAAAAAAAATAAAAAAAAAAATAGGCAAAATAATTATACAGACTGCTGACTCTTTCTTAACTCGCTTTTGATATTTCCTCGTGGTTTAATGCCATAACTCTCTTCAGAACACTCCCTCAGATCTGGCTTTGATGTCCGCGCCGTGACGCGTCTGCTCGTTTTCAACATTTTTCCCTGAGTTTGACCTGCAGGCTGCTGTTTTCCCAAAAGCTTGTCTCCTCTGTGAGAATGTGCCGTTTGTGCATAAACAGCAGAGACGCAGATAAGAGAAAAGGTTAGACATGAAACTGCGGGGGTCAGTAACGGGGAATTCCTCGTCATCGGTCAAATATGTGCAGGGAGCGTCAGGCGTGAAGCCAAAAACCACCCGCGGAAAAAAACATTTACGTGGTTCATTAAGTTGGTTAGAGGCAGGGATGTCTTTACGGATGAATTTCAGTTTGTTTTGAGAAATGGTTGTGGGGCATTATGAGAAAAAGTATATATTCATTCTCTATTTTTGCCTGTTTGACTTTGCAGTAATCTCGAGGTTATATGTCTGAATGAATTATTATCTATTCATTATAATTAAGATGTAATAATAGCTTTTTTTTAGTGCTCCAGGATTGGTTTTGTAGATTTTCTGGTGCTTTAAATATAAATAATGTTGCCTTTTTTTTTTACTTTTGTACTTTTACCCCAGAAACTTCTTACAGTAATTATAGTCGCTGCAAAAAGTGATAAAAATTAGTCAAAAATGGCAAAAATTTCACAAAACGTTCCTAAATTTGAGCACATTCTGACTGAGCCTTAAATCAAGATTTGCTGACGGGACAAAGCAAAATAATCTTGTTTTGAAAATATGCAAGACATTTCTCCTTTGGAATGAGAAAATAAAACCACAGTTCCTGAATTAAGACTTAGCGGCTTTGTCCCGTTGGAGAATCTGGTTTTAACTCTGTCAGAATGTGTCAGATTGAGATAAAAACACTTGATTCAACAATTATTACCTAATATTTTATAGTTTTTTTGCAGTGTAGTCTCTCCATGACCTCGCGCCAAAATATATTAGTGACATGTTAGTCCCATATGAACCAGCCCGGACTCTGAGGAGCACAGGGACCGGACTCCTGCTGGGACTCTGAGGAGCACAGGGACTGGACTCCTGCTGGGACTCTGAGGAGCACAGGGACTGGACTCCTGCTGGGACTCTGAGGAGCACAGGGACTGGACTCCTGCTGGGACTCTGAGGAGCACAGGGACTGGACTCCTGCTGGGACTCTGAGGAGCACAGGGACTGGCCTCCTGCTGGGACTCTGAGGAGCACAGGGACTGGCCTCCTGCTGGGACTCTGAGGAGCACAGGGACTGGACTCCTGTTAGTGCCCAGAGTCAGGACTAAACATGGGGAGGCTGCTTTTCAGATTCATGCTGCTAAAATTTGGAACAGTCTTCCTGAAGATGTGAGACAGGCCTCCTCTCTGACAATGTTTAAAACCAGGTTAAAGACGGTTCTGTTTAGCTGTGCATACAACTGAGGGATTTTATATTTTTATCCTTCTTTTTAATGTTCTGTGATTATTTATGATTTTTATGCTATCTTGTCTGAATTGTGCCATACAAATAAACTTGCCTTGCCTTTTAGTGTTTGTGTAAATGTTGTTGTAGTATTTATTTTATGACTTTATTGCAAGTTTAATCTACGTTTTATGACACAATATTTTATTCCATTGAAGTTCTGTTATCAACACAAACACTTTGCAAATGGGAGACTTCCTGGGTTTGTCACAGAGTCCAGTAAGAGCGGACTCCACCGTTAATATGGCAACAGCACACTCTCTAATGACAGTGACACTAAAGTAGCCCGGTCTTACCACACCACTGTACTCCTTTGATGGGAGGGGTTAACTCCTTTTGTAGATTGAAACGATTGGATCTGAGTTTACCGTGACGCCCGAGTGAGCGAGGCATTTAGCATGTAGCCTAGCTTTAGCATTTAGCCGAGCTTCAAACACATTTGTGACCGAAGGGATTAGGCTGAAGCGTAACTTATTTTTGCCTAATCCAATTCATAAAGTAAAGTGTCCAAAATTTGGGGCAAAACCCAAATCGATTAAGATGGAGAGATCCTTTAATCGTCCCACAGCGGGGAAATTTCAGTGTTGCATCACAAGTTACAGAACAGGAGGAATGAGAAGCACACAGCGCAAGATAAGTGAACAAGTAAGTAATCTACACTAATTAAAATAAAACAAAATCTCTAACTTTCGCATCAATAACAAGTATAAAAACTCAATCTTGGACATAATAATTATAACAAAAAGAAGTGTACAAGTTTTACGTTTGGCAAAATAAGAGGCAAGTATAAAGAAAAGTATAAAGTGCTTGCCTCAAACAGTATTATCGTTATTATTCTGAGCCTGACACTGAGGATACAGATGTGAGACTTGCTAAAGGTGTTTTATTGTGCCGTAGACGTCCATCTGCAGTCCTGATATTAGATAACAGTGTCAGGTTACATGCAAACACTGGCAGCTGGCTCAGACAAAGGCTGCTTATGCTACTGTCCCATACCACTGGACACACGCGAAGCAGGAAGTAGGCTCTATTCATTCAACACGACACATTAATGAAGGCTTAGACTAAACTTTCCTCTGGGGCTCATTCTTACTTTTATAATTCACCCACGTTGGCTGCATTTTGCTTTTTAAAAATGCAAAGTTTAGTTGAGTTGGAGGGTCAGTAGGGGGCAGCACTGTGCAGGTGTAAGGACAGGTAACCCACATTCCAGTCTTGTCTAATCTGACTTTATTATAGCAACATTTATGACACACACACACACACACACACACACACACACACACACACACACACACACACACACACACACACACACACACACACACACACACACACACACACACACACACAAATTAACTATGTAATAAAATCCATCTAACTATTAACTCACTCTAGAAACTTGTTTTTTTTTTTTCAAGAGTGCCTTTGAAGATTGTATTTTATCATAATACTAGATTTTTTTAGAATAGATTTTTTATTTATTATATTATTATTATTATTATTATTATTAATCTTTATTTCAGACTCAAGATAAAATTGGTCCATACAAAAAATAAAAAATAAACAATAAAAGGGCAATGCATTCAAATATATAGTATCATTTCCGGCAGATTTAAATATGATTAAGTGTATCTGTCCAGTGCTTTCTCAGAGCAGACGTGTAGCGACATGAGCTCATTCTACCGTTGGTCAGAGTCCGAATGATGCCGTTCTCAGAGTAATTATAGTAATGACAATGCATTGGTTTTATATAGCGGTTTTTTGGACACTCAGACTCATTATTAATTCACTCCAAACACTGTGGTGAACTACTGCTGTAGCCACAACTGACAGAAGTGGAGGCAACCAGTCTGTGCCATCGGCCCCTCCCACCACCACAACCATTCACACAGGTGCGGCTTAATTATTATCTTATTTTTTCTGTGGCGCCAATAACATTTTGCCAAGTGACAGGCGACCGACAGAATGGATGAGCAGTTCACGGAGGTCCATCTAAATAGTTTTTGCTCCTTGATTCTGAACTATCCCTGACTCACTTCTTATTCTTACTCACAGTAAAAAGAAGACAATAATGAAAGCTTTTGAGCTACATTTTTAAATATTACGAAGTGCGGCTTATAATCAGGTGCGGCTTATAGTCCGGAAAATACACTCATTTTAATGAATTATTGTGGTAATTGAATAGATGTTCTTAAACAATTTTTGATGCATAAATTTGACCAAAACAAAACTTAAATCTGTGCCTCTCCAAAACATCTTCATAGAAATTGTTTTTTTAATTATACATTTACAAGGCATGTTTTGGTCCAGGTATTTTTCAAACTCAAAATATCTATACTTTCAATTATGGATTTGTTGTGATTAATCGTTTCACTTTTGACAGCACTATTTTAAACAGCACTGTGTTTTTTTTTTATTCATTTAAGTGCAAATACAGTCATAAGTTTGCTTAAAGTCCGGTTCAAAAATATATAAAATAACCCACGAGACACATTCTCACTTATTTTAGCGTTTTCACGGATAGTTTAGACGCAAAAACAGATAAGTTCCATGAAAACATATCGGAAAAGCTTACAAAAAGCCTTCCAGTTTACTACCATAACAGAACATTTTGAAGATTGTAACTAGAGCAATACAATATTTGGACAACATTTCCAAACGGAGATTTCGGTTTCTACATACGAACTCTCAGTATTTTTCCAAGTGAAGCAGAATTGGTCTCGTTAAAGTGGGACATTTAAGAATTGAAACTTATTTTAACATTGGTCAAATGCTCAGGCAATAAATGAATGTGTATATTTATGGCAGAGAGGGAAGATACACAGTTGTTTGCTTGTGTTTTGAATGGCACAATATAACACTACCCTATAACATAATAGTAATCTATACATTGTGGGTATTCTTGAATTAATGTTATGATTCATAATTTGACCTACATTTCGTGTAGTGAGCTACATCAGCACAACAAGTTTTTAACACAAATTCAAATGACATGGCCACTTCTAACTTATCTCCTTGACTGCCATTGACGTATTAGTCTGAGACCCTCTATTCAACTGGAGATTACAGGACAATCAAAATAGCTAAAAACAAACTTATTTTTGCGAGTGAAAGTAGACAATCCAGTCTTTCAGAATCTGGTTTCACATTTCACAAAGTCTTAGAAAATAATATTCTATGGGTCTTGAGAATCAGTGATATCATCAAAAACGGCTGGCAGTCAATGAGTTAATATCTAAATTTTGATCCTAATCTGTATTTTATTTTGTTTTATTGATATTTGTATATTTATACATACACGCACACACAGTTTTTCATATTTGATTTTTAAGGATTTTACTGTTTTACTATGGATTTGTTTTAATTAGTGAGGATGTGTTTTAGGGCTCGGCCTATTTTATTCAGTCTGTACAATGTGTTGCACTGTAGGAGTCAGGAGTTGAAATAAGCTGCGTCGTTCCTATTGTAACTATGTGTGACTACATTGTCCCTGTCAAATAACTTTAAAAAAATAAAAAATTGCGACTAATGAAGGACGTACTGCTTTGTTGGGAAATGTTGATGGCCTTGATGCCGTTCGCCAGCCTGTCCTCCTCTCCTTCCAGCAGCTTCCTGTAGGTGGCGATCTCAATGTCCAGAGCCAGTTTGACGTTCATGAGGTCCTGGTACTCTCTGATCTGTCTGGCCATGTCCTGCTTGGCTCTCTGCAGGGCGTCCTCCAGGTCTCTGATGCGGGCCTTGGCGTCCTTCACTGCCATCTCCCCGCGCTCCTCAGCCTCTGCGATCTGAGCCTCCATGTTGGCACGCTGGAAAAACACATTATTATTATAAGGTGAGAGTTTGCGAATGATGAATCAAAGTGACTAAAGATTGTGTTTAATCTGAAATATTAGAATTTCTAAATGAGTTTTACAGCCCCTGAATCTTGTTGTTTTCATTTCGATGTCCCGCCCCTCGAGCTAATCTCACTGCTAAAGTACCATGTGGCGCAGAACTAAAAAAGGTCTCGTTATGATTCTGTGATAAGTGGTACTGCAGCCTCTCCCACTCTCCCTGACTCAGGTTGCCAGATATGCAGACGAATCCAGCTGGGACCATAACAACTGAATAGACAAGAGTTTTGTCAACAACAAATCTATAACCAACACCTTTTTCACAAAGATAGAAATCCTGGTTTTATTCTTGTTTTGTCGTTAATGATTTGAGAATCATAACGAGACCTTTTTTAGTTCTGCGCCACATGGTACTTTACCAGTGAGATTAGCTCGAGGGCTAGTATTGTATTATAAGTATTGGAAAAGAACATGATTAATTAATGCCTTTGGACAGATTAGGGCCCTTTAATGATGACTGGACAGGACAATCTTACACATTGCCACTTTAAGCTTGTCCAGAGATAGTATTATGGTCTATCGCACCTGTCCCTTCACTGAATCGATCTCTGAGGTAAGTCTCTGGATCATTCGGTTCAGGTCTGCGATCTCCGTCCTAGTGGATCTCAGGTCGTCTCCGTATCTGGAAGCGGACGTCTGCATCTCCTCGTACTGAAACGCACAAAACAGAAGATTACGGAGAGAACTCATTGGATAATCGGAGTGTGGGTTGGATAAAAGGGGCGGGTCAGACTCTACCTTGGTCTTGTACCAGGTCTCGGCCTCTGCGCGGGTGCGGTTGGCGATGTCCTCGTACTGGGCCCTGACTTCGGCCACTATGGAGTCCATGTCCAGGTTACGGCTGTTGTCCATCTCCACGACGACGGAGGTGTCCTTGATCTGGCTCTGAAGCTCACGCAGCTCCTGAAAAGACATATCATTATTATTATTAGTAGTAGTAGTAGTAGTAGTAGTAGTAGTAGCAGTAGCACACTGCAAAAAGTCATGAAAAATAAGTCAAAAATTATGAATGAAGTAACTCTTGAAATGTTTCTGTTGTACCTCTTCATAGATGGAGCGTAGGAGGTAGTAGTCATAGTAGTAGTAGTAGTAGTCATAGTAGTAGTAGTAGTCATAGTAGTAGTAGTAGTAGTAATCACCTCTTCATAGATGGAGCGGAGGAAGTTGATCTCATCGGTCAGACTCTCCAGCTTGGCCTCCAGCTCCACCTTGTTCATGTAGGCCTCATCCACATCCTGAGCACAGCAAACCATCACGGTCAGTCAACACAACCACATTCAGCCAAGCTCTGGTTAGAATCCAATCAGAATGTACCTTTTTGATGAGGACAAAGTCGTTCTCACACTCTGTTCGCTTGTTGATTTCATCTTCATACCTAAAACACAAAATATTCATTCACCGTCATCTATTTTGTATTGAAGATGTTGTAGTACATTTGTATGAACACTAGGGGGAGACAGTCAAATCTCCAGGAAGCACGCTCATACTAACCTGGCAAAAGCCAGATTGATGATTGTGTAGAACTCTAACGCGTTCTCCGCTCGAGTGTTTGTGAACTCACAAATACCGCGAGAATTCAGCTTGCCGGCAAGGTTACGCTCATACTACTAGCGATGACCTTTAGATCCAACATAACTTAGACCTTTAGAAACAGCTTCTGGCCTCTGTATAACATTTGTAAATCATCACTTTGTCATTACGTAACTGAAATATCACCATTTCAACATCCTTCAGTTTTTGCTTGCATTTTTCTACCTAGTCTATTGACCTTTCTTCACTCTTCTAACCAGGAGTAACAAAAGGCCAAAAACTTGAACCAATACCCAGCCTCCTCTCCATGTTCTTCTTTCTCCCTGTGTTGTAGTACATTTGTATGAACACTAGGGGGAGACAGTCAACCATAAAAATCTCCAGGAAACACGCTCATACCATGGATCTATGCTCATACTAAGTAAGTAAGTGGTGACTTTTAGATTCAACATAACTTTGGACTTTATAAACAGCTTCTGGCCTCTATGTAAAATTCTTAAAACATCGCTTTGTCATTATGAAACTGAAATGTCGCCACTGTAAGAACACCCTTCAATACTTGCTTGTGTTTTTATACCTTGTCTGAACCAATACCCAGCCTCACGTCCATGTTTCTTTTATTTTTTTCTCCCTGTGTTGTAGTACATTTGTATAAACACTAGGGGAAGCAAGTCAACCATAAAAATCTCCAGGAAGCACGCTCATACTATTAGTAATTGACTTTTAGATATAACATCACTTTGGATTTTATAAACAGCTTCTGGCCTCTATATACAATTCTTAAAACGTCACTTGACTATCACCACTTCAACAACAGCCTTCGATATAAGCTCGCATTTCTCTACAGGGTCTTGAACATGCCTCCCTAATGCTGTAATCCTCTGGAGCTGAGCGTGACCCAAGCAGCTGGACAGATGTGGGGTGTAGACTCCTCCAACATGACCTCACTGGGCTGTATAGTGTGTCCCTGGTGTCCTATGTCTCTCTTCATTTCCTTTGCTTACGTCCATCTCGTCCACTCACTTGTTCTTGAAGTCTTCCACCAGGCCTTGCATGTTGTGCAGGTCAGCCTCCAGCTTCATCTTGTCGTTGCCCAGGCTGTCCAGCTGTCTGCGGAGGTTGGAGATGTAGGCCTCGAACATGGCGTCGATGTTGGAGCGGGTGGTGGTCTGTCCCTGCAGCAGGTTCCATTTGGTCTCCAGCATTTTGTTCTGTTGTTCCAAGAAGCGCACCTGAAGAAGCAAAAAAAGTTATTAATACAGAGATGAATAGGGCTGTGTTGAATATTGGATTGCTTTTTAGATGACTATTCATGTATTTGAATGGAAATTTGTATTATCTATGTATTATTCATATACATGTACACATCATACAGACAGAAACTACTGAAAAAGAAAAATACTATTGGACCAATATTGTTGATTTTGTGTTAAAATGGTGCAGTGCAGTAGCCACAGTGCACAAATCGAATCGTATCAAACTTATAGTGCCCTGTATCTACGTATATGGATCATAATGCAATGTCTAAAAGATACCCAGCCTTAGACATTACACACAAAAGTAAAAAAAACAAAAACAGAAGAGTGGGAATCCCCGTTTTGTGGCTTGTTTGCCATGCTTATTGTTGTAATACAGCATATATATATGGATCTTTGAGCTGCTATGGCCTTTGTTATCAGCCTCATTTGTTCCAGAGGAAGGCTTGGTGGGTGTGCATCCTGACAGGAGGTGTGGGGGTGAGGGGAGAGCCAGACAAGGTTGGAAAGACCCATTGATGGAGGGTTAGAAGGCCCCAGAACTATGCCTGCTTTCCTTCCTGTTTTTGTGCAGCAGCCATGACAACACAAATGCACCGTATTTTTTTTCCTGATTATTAAAACTCCATCAGGTAAATCATCAACCAGTGATTGTGGAAAAAGCACATGTGGCTCGGAGTATACAGTGGGAATGGTATTTATTGTCGGAGATAGAAAATGCAGTGAGTAGAGTTGAGTGGACCTTGGCCTGTAGGCTTCATGTTGCTTAACCTCTCTGGTCATTCTTTAAACCGATTGTTTTAAGATGAGGTGATAAGACAAGAGTTTATCCAAAAACAAGAGCTCATGGAGTTCCTCTGTTTGAGCGGATTCAGAAAGTCAGCTGACATTAGAGCGAACACAAAACCAAGTGACCTTTTTAAATATTAACTTGGAAAGGACAGACGCAACTGCAGCTATTGCTCAACCACGCAGTAGTCTGGAAGTCTGTCCCGCTTTTGTCTCTTGTTTTGAACTTTTAATTTAAAACTATTGTCGTTTTAGCTTACAATAGCAAAGTCCTTGGCTGTCTTTGGGAGGGGTGAAGGCCACAAAGGCAGCCACACCCCGGCTACAGGGAGGGCCCAGTCCCAAGGTAACCCGTATCACAAGCTCTCCTCTCTGTTGACACACCCTTTCTCTCGCTTCGTTTTCATGTTCCGTTTTTTTTCTTTTCCCTATAGCCAAATGTCTGTTTCTCATCACTGCGGGAGGCCAGCCAAGAGATAGGGAGTCTTAAAAGGCGGTGCTGCACATTCATCAACTTCTGTCATGTATTCATTTGTGGGAGGTGGGGAAAGCATTAAGTGTCTTGCATAAATCAGCAGGAATATAAGCAGATTTTACATGTGCCAAACATATGGGTGCTTGAAATTAACTTCACTTATAATTCAACTTTTCCCCATTCAAAAACACAACAACAAATCCCCAATAAGTATATGTTGAATGATCCAATCTTACTGTAAGTGGTCATACAGCTAATTCCATAACTTAAAAACATATACATACTTATAAAAACTTATACATATTTGAACTTTAATCTTACCTTGTCAATGAATGAAGCGAAGCGGTTGTTGAGGCCCTTCATCTGTTCTTTCTCGTGGGTGCGGACAGCCTGGATGTTGGGGTCAATCTCCAGGTTCAGGGGGGCCAGGAGGCTCTTGTTCACGGTGACTGCGGTGATGGGGGCCTGTCCCATCCCCATCCCCATACCCATACCACCACCCATACCACCACCCATACCACCACCCATACCACCCCCCATGGCAGAGCCCAGGCCGTACACGGAGGAGCTGGAGATGTATCCACCACCCCCACTCATGCTGCCTGCCCCAAAGCCTCTCTGGCCACCACTGGAGTAGCTCATGGACATACTTTTGCGGGATGCTCCAGACCCAGGCGCAGAGTAGGACAGGCTGCTAAAGTTCCTGGGGGCAGCGGAGGACCTCACAGTGTAGGACGAGGTGGTTGTCCTGGATCTTGACGACATGGTTGCTTTAGTTGTATTAGTCGTGGAAGAGGGTTTTTGGCAGGCAGGCAGGCAGGCAGGCAGGCTGGTCAGCAGAGGGGAATGGACCAGGATAGGAAGAGACGTGAGCACAAGAGGAGTTTTAAAGAGTGTGTTGATGTGGGAGGGACTCTGCTCTGCTACGATTGGCTGCTCGGGAAAGAAGGTGGGAGAGTGAAACTTTATACTTGCATGACACACTGGTCAGTCATTCAAACTCATTACCTGCTCGTTCTACTGGGCTCACACCAAAATGGTTTGAATCAAAGAAAAGTGCTGCTTTTGAAAGACTTTTTGCATATTTTACATTCTGCGTATAAACTTCTAACTGAAACTTTAGAAGTCCAAGAAAGAATTCAGGTCTTGCCAAAGTGCAGATAGGCTGAGCATGTCTGGGATGATAAGAAGTTCAAATCAATGCCGCTATGATTGATATTGTTAAAGTAGGTGTGTCGTGTTCGAAGCTCAAGTGATTCCATTTCAAGATTATTTGAGTTTTACTGTATAAAAATGATCAAATTAGTGAAGCTGAGTGAAGCCAATCTGCACGTGTTAGAATAGATAAGTCTTTCTCCAAAGGCTTACTCGCGCAGACAGACACGGCCAAAGGGCTGGAAATTCCTCCTTGTTAGTAAAGCATGGCCAACACTTGAAGTATTGTCGTTTGAAAACAGGTTTTGTAAGCTGTAAGGTTTGGATACGCTTGGGTAGGCTTCATTAGGCACAATATAAACAACATGTGACGCCAGCAACAAAAACACAGAAATATACTCAATTTACCGTTAACGTTTTTGAGTCTAAATCTGCTTTTTGTCAGATTATGTTGGATAAAAATGAATAGTTTTACTGACTTATATAATTATTTTCATTTCTTTGTTTATTCCAAAAAACCTAACTTAACCTAATTTGAAAACGGAATAATAGAAGAAGAAGAAGGTCCGTTATTCGTCCCACAATGAGGAAATTTCAGTTTGATGCATACACACATGTATACACATACACATATACATATACACATACACATATACATATACATATACACATACACATATACATACACATACACATATACACACATATACATACACATATACATATATACACATACACATATACACATATACACACATACACATATACATATATACATACACATATACATATACACATATACATATACACATACACATATACATATACACATATACATATACACATATAGATATATACATATACATATACATATATACATACACATATACACATACACATATACATATACATATATACATATACATATATACATACACATATACATATACACATACATATACATTCACATACACGGATACACATACACGTATACCTATACACATACATATACACATACATATACATATACATATACATAGATACATACATATACATATACAGTAGGCAAGGCAAGGCAAGGCAAGGCAAGTTTATTTGTATAGCACAATTCATACACAAGGCAATTCAAAGTGCTGAACAGAACAAGAAAGCATTAAAATCATAAATAATCACAGTACATTAAAAAAAAAATATAAAATTAAAGCCGCAAGCGGCGATGAAAGGCCTCGCCCCTCTTGCGACCGCCTCCCGGGCGCCGGTCCCACAAGCGTCACGCCGACAAATTGGCAGCCCGATCTGACCAGGATTACGTATATAAAAGCTCATTTATATGATAAAGTGCGTCCCTAGTGGTCACCTCCGGGACATGCACCCTCTACGTAGAGTAGTATTTTGCTCGTACAGATGTAAAGATTTGATTTTGCAACTTTGGTGAAGATCGGAAAAGTTTAGGTCAGAAGCCTTCCATAGGTGGCGCTGTAGAGTCATATTAGGTGTGTGTTTTCACACCATTACTCTCAGGTCATTACCAACTGTTAGTGATGTGAGTTTCAGCTCTGTAGGTCTGAGCCTGTGGTCAGGAGAGCATCAAACATGGAGAAATTCCCCACTACCTCGCATGAAAACGATAACAAAATTCTCGGGGCGGCAGTAGCTCAGTTGGTAGAGCTTTGGCCTTTGAGCCAGAAGGTCGTGGGTTCAAGCCCCGCTCAAGACTTTCACCATCGACTCCCACTGTCTACTGTCGTTGTGTCCTTGGCAAGACACTTAACCTCTGGGAACACCAGCCACAGTGGGGCGGCTGCGGCTGTAAAGTGCCAAACTGCCGTTGTGTCCTTAGGCAAGACACTTCACCCCCATTGCCTAGAATGAGTCTGGTGTGTGTGTGAATGGTTGGTGGTGGTCGGAGGGGCCGATGGCGCATACTGGTTGCCTCGCTTCTGTCAGTGTGCCCCAGGGCAGCTGTGGCTACTGTAGTAGTTTATCACCACCGTGTATGGAGTGAATGAATAATGACACATGTGAAGCGTCTTTGAGTGTCCAGAAAAGCGCTATATAAAACCGATGCATTATTATTATTATTAAAATTCTAACTTTTATGCGATGATTGCATAACTTCAATCCGTCCAGATGGAGAAATGACATGGTAGAAGTCTGTGCGATGAAAATCCAGGGACTAGTACGAAGCAAAAAATGCAACACATTGAACTGCCTGTAGGTGGCGCTGTTGCACTCACAGTTGTGTGTTGCATATCGTTGTGTTCAGGGTCATACGCTGTATTTCTGAATTCATTTTTAGCCTCATCGGACAAACATTTTGCCCCAAAAAGCTCATTCATTCACTTTCCGGCGCCCCCGGTGGTCAGGTGTAGGACTTACAACTTTTGCGTAATGTAATGTGTTGCTCGGCTCGGTCCAGAGAATACACTCAGCGATTTTTGGGCCGATCCGAGCACTAGTGCCCTATTACTTTCCGACAGGTGGCGCTAAAGAGCTCAAATTGGGCGAATGATTTTAGTGTCATTGCGTTCAGGCCATAACCTAATATTACTGATGTGAGTCTCAGCTCTGTAGGTCTGAGCTTGTGGCCCTCAGGGCTCAGCGAAAATGGCCAAAACGAAGGCCTTATTCGCCATGGCGAGGGACAAAAACGGTGGAGATTTTCTAACTTTTGTTTGATGATTATATAACTTCAATCCGTCCAGATTAGGAAATGACATGGTAGAACTCTGTGTGATGAAAAACCAGGGACTAGTTCGAATTTCTAAATGAAAAGTCAAATTAGTGGCGAAACTTTGGCCCATCATGGCCGACTTCCTGTTGGTCCCAGACATGTGCTTAGACCGGCTTTTATGCTCGTCTCATAGAGATCTATCACTCATCCGAATTTTGTGTACCTACTCCAAAATATGCAATCCTGCCTCCAATAGAAATGGAAAATTTTGAATTTTCAAGGGGGCGCTATTGATTCGTCTTTTGTCGGACAATCTCGAAACGTCCGTTTTATCAAATTTTTCGCCGAACCGGTCGTTTTAGACCCCCCATGTGCAGACTTTCGTGCATGTCTTCAGGGTCAAAAATCAAATTGAAGATGCGGAAAAAGAATAATAATATGAAACCGGTGAATAACAATAGGCCTCCCCAATACTTTGTATTGGCTCGGCCTAAATATAAAATCCCTCAGTTGTATGCACAGCTAAACAGAACTGTTTTCAACCTTGTCTTAAACATTGTCAGAGAGGAGGCCTGTCTCACATCTTCAGGAAGACTGTTCCAGATTTTAGCAGCATGAATCTGAAAAGCAGCCTCCCCATGTTTAGTTCTGACTCTGGGCACTAACAGGAGTCCAGTCCCTGTGCTCCTCAGAGTCCGGGCTGGTTCATATGGGACTAACATGTCACTAATATATTTTGGTGCGAGGCCATGGAGAGACTTGTACACAAGCAGAGCTGTTTTAAAGTCTATTCTCTGAGCCACAGGAAGCCAGTGCAGAGACCTGAGGACTGGACTAATGTGGTCGTACTTCCTGGTTCTAGTCAGGACTAATGTGGTCGTACTTCCTGGTTCTAGTCAGGACTCGAGCTGCTGCATTTTGAATGTACTGCAGCTGTTTTACAGCCTGTTTGGACAGACCTGTGAGCAGGCCATTGCAGTAGTCTAACCTACTGGAGACAAATGCATGGATAAGAATCTCCAAGTCTGCTTTAGACACTATGTTTTTGATCCTGGCAATGTTTTTTAGATGGTAAAAAGCTGCTGATGTTACTGATTTGATGTGGCTATTAAAATTTAAGTCTGAGTCCAGTATTACCCCTAGATTTCTGACCTTGTTTGAAGGTTTTAGGGAGAGAGACTGTAGGTGACAGATGACGCTCTCTCTTTGTTTCTGGGGACCAAAGACAATCATTTCAGTTTTGTCTGCGTTTAGCTGAAGGAAGTTGTTTTGCATCCACTCACTGATCTGTTGGATACAGTGAAGGAGTGAGTCCACTGGTCCATGTTCTCCTGCAGTCAGTGAGACATAGATCTGAGTGTCGTCTGCATAGTTATGATAGGACACTTTGTTTCTGCGTATTAACTGACCTAACGGCAGCATGTAGAGATTGAACAGAAGAGGTCCCAGGATCGACCCCTGTGGTACTCCACAGGTCAGGGCCATATGATCTGAGACACAGTTTCCAATCTCCACAAAGTACTTCCTGTCTTCAAGGTAAGACCTAAACCAACTTAGGGCGGTGCCAGCGACTCCAACCCAGTCCTCTAGTCTCTGTAAGAGGATCTCATGGTCGACGGTGTCAAAGGCAGCACTCAGATCTAACAGGATTAGGATTGAGACTTTGCCTGCGTCAGTGTTCAGCCGGATATCGTTTGTAACCTTGACAAGAGCAGTCTCAGTGCTGTGGTGGGGTCTAAAGCCGGACTGAAACATATCAAATGAGTTGTTAATTATAAGAAATCTAGTAAGCTGTTGGTAGACAACTTTTTCAAGGACTTTCCCCATAAATGGCAGATTTGAGATGGGACGATAGTTGTTAAGTACCGTAGCATCCAGGCTGCTCTTTTTTAGCAGGGGCCTGATGACTGCAGTTTTCAGGGCCTTTGGGAATATT